TCGGCCCAAGTGCAAGCCTATTTTCTTTGTAGTGTTTATAGACCACCGAACTCTGATTTGGCGAGGTTTATTTCCTCTATGGAGAACAGTATAGCAAATATTGGCCCCAAGAACTGTGATATAGTATTGCTTGGTGATTTTAACGTAGATTTTACTCCGGTTAAAGGGAAATCAAATCCCGCGAAAAAATTTTTGACGGATTTTGCAAGATCGATGGGCCTAAACCAATTAATTAAAGAAGCTACTAGAGTCACTGACTCGTCACAAACAATGATTGACTTAATCTTTGTAAACAATGAGCACCGTTTTGTTGCAGATGGAGTCATACCCTTAACGATTAGCGACCATTCATTGATCTATTGTAGTCTGAAAGTGGGCGCGCCAAAAGGGACCCCTAGAACAATAGAATATCGTTCATACAAATCCTACTATCGTGTCTCCTTTGTACAAGATTTAAAAAACATTCCATGGCACTTAGTCGCTGACGAAGATGACATTAATGATGCAGTCTCCACTTGGAATGCTCTGTTTCTGGATGTAGCAAACAACCATGCGCCAATTAAGAGACAACGCGTAAATGGAATAAATTCACCCTGGATGACTTCCGAAATCAGCGATTTAATGCGTGAACGCGACTATTATCATCGAAAGGCAAGAAAATCAGGCTCTCCTGATCACTGGCAATCATATAAAAACTCTCGGAATCTTGTGAATAAAGAAATTAAAGCTAGCAAGTCAAAATATTACATCAATTTGATCGAGGAAAGTAAAGGTGACTCCAAGAAGCTATGGAATGCTGTTAACAAAGCATCTTCTAGGAAATGTCAATCGTCCAACCCAACTTGCATTATCTCGGATGGAGTTGAATATACAAACAATAAATCGATTGCTTCTATTTTGAACAAACATTTCGCTACTATAGGTCAATATCTTGCCGAGAAGCTACCCGCTATGACACCAAGTTATGCATCAAGTTACTATCTATCTAATGGTCAACATTTTAATATCCTTCCCGTTGATGAATCTTTCGTTATTAAACATCTCAAATCTCTCAAAGCTTCGAAAGCAACTGGTTTGGACAAGATAAATATAAAGCTACTTAAAGATGCATCAGAAATAATTGCTCCTTCGATTACAAAGCTCATAAATCGATCCATTCAAAATCATACATTCGACCTTCAAGTTGGAAATGTTCGAAGGTATTTCCTTTGTACAAGTCTGGGGACAGAGCGAACGCAACTAATTACCGTCCAATATCAGTTCTACCTGCATTGAGCAAGTTAATGGAAAAAGCTGTTTATACTCAACTTTATGATTATTTAACAGAACATAACATTCTCAATGATAATCAGTTTGGTTTTCGCCGAAAGTGTTCCACAACAACAGCACTCTCGAGTTTTGCTGACGAGATTCTGGCCAGTATGGAAAAGGGAGAAGTGTGCGGTGCCGTGTTTTTGGACCTGTCCAAGGCCTTCGACACGGTCGATCACGCTGTTATGCTGAAGAAATGATCTGCCATTGGCGTTTCTACTGAAGATATAGCATGGTTTGCTTCCTATCTAAGTTTTCGATCGCTTCGAACTACTTGCGGTCCTGAGCTGTCTGAACCATTACGCTGTAACTTTGGTGTCCCACAGGGCAGTATTCTTGGCCCTTTACTCTTTTTGATTTATATCAACGAGATACCAAGTTTCATTAAACATGCACAATTATTTCTTTACGCAGACGATACTGTCCTGTATTACTTTTCTAACACTTCCCAGGATCTGGAGGAGAAACTAAATGCCGACCTGCGTAATGTTTGTGTTTGGCTTAATGAGAATAAACTAACTTTGAATACAAAAAAGACCAAATTCATGATCATTGGGAGTAGCCGTAAACTTTCTAATATTGATTCCGTCACAGTCAAGGTAGCTGGCAGTAATATAGAAAGAGTCGAAGAATTCTCGTATCTTGGAATAACTTTTTCAACTAATATGACCTGGACTGAACATGTTAACCAACTCTGTTCAAAGATCAGCAAACGCCTGGGGCTCCTGAAGAGAATTAAGCATCTGCTACCGCGATACGCAAGACTACTTTTTTACAAGAGTCTTATTTTACCTGTGTTTGACTACGGCGACCTGGTATGGGGTGATAAGAACAATGACGTACTGATGGGCAATTTACAAATTCTCCAAAACAAAGCAGCAAAAATCATCCTTGACTATCACCCACTTTCTTCGTCTAGTGCTGCGCTGGATGAGTTGGGATGGAACAGGCTTCACCAACGTCGATTTTATCATAGATGTTTATTCATTTTTAAATGTTTGAATGGGCTATCTATGTCTAAGCTAATCTTGAAATCGCTAAGCGAACTTCATTCCTATAACACTAGAAATAAGAACAATTTATGCTTGCCTAAAGTTGAACGAAATTGGGGCAAGCAAAGGCTCGAGTACCATGCAGTAAACGATTGGAACACTCTTGACGAAGAGACTAGACATTCAGACTCAATTGCTAAGTTCAAAATGAACTATTTTAAAACTCACTAGTGCTGAATTATAACACTCATAGCATGCTGACGTATACATACTCTTTGAATTCTATTTAGTTACAATTCTTATTGTTGTAGATAGCTCACAGCTCTTAGTCTTACTTGTAATTTAAACACTAGGCATACTTTTATTGATTTTTAACGTTAACCTTATTGTAATGTGATGGATTTGGTTTTTATGACTCATATTTATATATCTATATTTTTAAATATAGGACCTCTCTGAAAATCACTTTACGTGAGAGAGTTTCCTATTTAAATATTGTCATAAATAAATAAATAAATAAATACCTGTTGTCAGGTTAAGGCTTGCTGAAGCGGACGTCAGAACATCGGTGATCTGTTCTTTCTTGCATGTCATGATTAATTTTGTCGAAATTAAATTATCACTGACATCCTTTGTGTAAATTGTGTTAGCTACTCTTAGTTGTCTTAGACAACCGAGTAAATTTTTATGTAATGTCCATCTAGGCTATAACATTAACATATTTAATAGACGATTGACTATTGCACTTCTGTGGGCAGAAATTTAGAATCAGGAAACTTAATATTTTTCGTATTGGGAGTTCTGTAAATTACCCAGATTCTAGGCATGGACTTTGGAATGCTACAACATCAAAACATTATACAGGGTGTATAAAAAAACGCAACCTCGGAATTTCCTAAGAAATCACTTTGCAATTCTTAAGCATAAACGATTTTAGGCACCTGGGAATTGAAATCGAATTACTAATGACCATATTACTGTTGCACTCGCGTGTGCAGTAATTTTGACAGTTGTGCTATTTTAAATCCCCAGGCCCCTAAAATCTTTTATCTTTAAAACAATGTCGATTTCTTGGGAAATTCCGAGGTTGCGTTTTTTTGATACACCCCGTATGAAAGAAACTACTCTTCCAATTATTATGATATCGTGTTGTAGATAAATGCATATTGTTTTACTACAGGATGTCAAAGTTAAAACATAGTTATATAAAACAGAATTTGATAAATTCATATAATTTCTTCACCTCACGTAGGCCTAAGCAGATTTGTGTGTTTTTACGATTGTGTTGTACAATCCAATGTCATCAACATATCCATGTATTTTGTTGAGAACATATCAAATATCATGGTATATTTGTTCCTATTCATGTTTATTTATTAAAGCAAAATTTCCGAGCCACTGTGCATATATACGGCATTAAAGTCTTAAATGTTCGTTTACTAACAAGCATTTTGTTGGTACAGCTCCAATTAATGGATCAGTTACGTGCATGGACGAGATATGTATTATGTATGTAATTCTTATGGGGTTTTGTCAACCGCTTTTATATATAGAGATGAAATTGGAATGCATGTATGCATGCATGCAGAACCATATATATACATAAATTATACGTACTGTTATTATATATCAGTATGGCAAAACCATGCACTATATACAGTGTTAGACGCGTTTCGTATATACACACAAATTATTTTGGGGTTGATCAATTTTCTTGCTTTGCTTTTTTTTGTAATATTGCACAATTCTTTGTAAAAGTACAGCAAGCTTAAATTTATGAACGAGGACTTGGTGTATATATCATAGATATCTATATACACTAGATAGCGCATCTCTTTTAGTAAAATTGAAGCCAAGAATATTCCAGCGGTACCCCCATTTGAATAGATGGCGGCCATGTTGGTCGTTCCCACTTGCTAATAAACGCTTAAAAACAACAATAACTTTCATCATTTGAATAGTTTAAAAATGTATTTGGAATAGGGTTAACTTAATGTTTAAGTTCCCTGTTTAATAAGAAATAGAAAACATACGAATCTTCTCATTTCATGGGAACGACCTGAGACTGCAATCACGGCTTCAATTTTTGAATTGCAGAATAATTAGATGCACTATCTAGTGTATATAAGATATCTATGGTATATATAGGATCCAACTGGACTCACGTGTTTGCGATTTAGAGGAATTATATAGTAGCCTACTTGGTATAGAAAACTCAAAATTATAATTATTGCAGGAATTAATCCTCGTTTGTAGAAATAAAAGGCAGACACCTTTCACTCACCACTGTGAAACCAACACTATATAATTCTAAACTAGAAGTTACTATGGCAAGGCAAGTGCTGCCTTACAACCAAAGCCCTGGGGATTGATTAAACCAATAAACTTCATTTATTTATTTAAATTGGCTTACACACACTGTATGAATTAATTTATTTTGTTCAAAAAAGTATCTAAATTACAACATGCAATAATTACTAGATACTGTAAAGTGCACAAAAGTTATGCAACTGCCGTTGCTATTTTGGCTTTAAAGTAATTTAACTCGTAAACGACATCTGCATGTGACCCCCAAATTTTATTAAAAAAAAATGATTTCTCTTAGTTTAATAAATTATTTTGACAATTTAAAATAAATTCTGTAGAGCCAAAAAATAATTATTATGAATAATCACCTTTACGTAATCACCACACAGAATTTTTTTTAAATTTTCAAAATAATTGATTAAACTATGAGAAATCATTTTTTAAAATAAAATTTGGGGGTCAGCAATGTCGTTTACGAGTTTAAATTATTTTAAAGCCAAAATATCCGCCATCTTGAAACGCCATTGTTGCCATAGCAACGGCAGTTGCGTAACTTTTGTGCAAAAATTCCAAGAAAGTAAGGTACTTTTTGTTTATTAACAAGTAATAATTGTCCAAAAATGAATTTTCCAACTTTTTCCAATTTTTGAACTGTATTGAGTCACCTTAAATATCAATGCGCTCTACCACAATGGGTAGTCGCATGTTATTTTGTGCCTTAATGGGCTCTACCACAATGGCAAGATCAATGTTATTACGTGCCTCGGTGAGCTCTAGCTACCACAATGGGTAGTCGAATGATATTTTGTGCCTCAATGGGCTCCACGGCTCCACCACAATGGGTATAGACTGTTATTATTTTGTCCTACCACAATGGGTAGACTGTTATTGTTCTGTCGTACAACCATGGGTACACTGTTGTCCTACCACCATGGGTAGTTCAATATTATTTGGTGCATCAAAGGGATCCACAGGTGTTGTAGTTGTTTTCGCATGCATTACAGCTGGCACATTACGTGTGTCGATCACAGAATCACATATCTCGTATAGACGGTATAGTCGTATCAATAAAACATGTTCGTAAACTTACCTACAGATAAGAATTCGACAGCAGGTTCTAAGACAACAAAGTCATATATTATCCAGAGCTTGCAAGTGAAGTACATTTTGTCTCATTGTACTAATAAGACTTATATTTCAATGCTGTTTTTGACCAATCGATTAGTGCCGTCAGTGGGATATTAACTCGTAAAAGCACATTGTTTGCCTCTAGATTGAACACTAAAAAGTCATCGGCTTGATGTATTTTAGAAGACAGAAATAGAGCCATACTTACCTGAACTTTTCCGGATATTTTTTATCTCTTGCATCCGTATTTAAAAGCTTGAAAAAATCTTGAGCACATGGAGATGCGTGCGCAATACAAAATCTTGTTCTGACCGCTCCTCTCATTTAACAAACGTTCGTGAAGCTTAATTATTCCCCTCGGATTACGACGAACATCTTTACATACATACAGACACAAGATCGAGATCTTGACAATACATAGATCGCGCGAAAGACTGGGTCGAGTGGACTCTGGAGAAACCATCGCGTGTCAAGAGTAGTGTGCTACCTGGCTGCGCTCAGCAGCAATAAGTTATTCCAATAGTTGCCGAACTTAAGATAATTAATGTGTACGAGATCGCAGATTGCGACGAAATCTGACCAGGTGATATAAAACTATACATATGGCTATACATGCAGCATTTCTTTTAAGAAGGTAAAAGCATAGTCGTGTTTAAAATCAAAATAAGACTTCATGGCGGCCATTTATATCATGCATGCATGTATGTCTGAAATATTTTATTTGATAGTAATATCAATATTAGTCGCTGTGAACGCTTTGAATCATTCATATA